ATTAATTGTTTATAGCTTCCACTTTCAACAATGCCCTATAAAAATACACTGCAGTCATATCTGATTATCCAATTTTGTTTAGTGCGAAGCACTCCTGGCACATCAGTCTGCTTATTTGCATGTGTCAGAATAGCAACAAAATGGATTCCTGTGGGCAATGGAAAATAAGCTTGGCACTTGGAAAATAAAATAGTAATAACCACACAGTAAAACTGCAGATGCATGCAGTAAATTAGATTTATCATCAGTCTTATACCATTCACACCTGAAATTTGCCCATAAATTTACCTCGTTTGAGGCTTATTTAATGTTTCTTCTGAAGCTGGCCTGGAGCTAGAGATTCAATCTAGGTGTAAGAACTGACAGGAGAGAAGAAAGAAAAACGTTTCTTTTTTTCCCTACAAAATGTGCGACTTCCTCGTCAAATAGACACTAGYTTGAGACATAAGATGGGTACATTTCCATCCAGGATCAGTTCACACTTCAACTTTGATACTTTGCAAACACAAAATGAGGATGATCTGGCGAAAGAAAAGATTTCTCAAACATGTAATATAATGTACAGAACTCACCAGGACCTGTACATATATTTATGAGTATATATATTTATATATTTCGGGCAAATCTGCTACATGCACATTCAATACACATACATTTGAAATYTTCCCATCTTTCAAGGTCTTACTACTTTTTCACATATTTTATATTTACAAGATGTGGTGAGAYAGAGCTTTCAACAGGTGCCTCTCAGTGCCAATCCAAATAATATTATCCTTGGTTTTCAGAGCCTGGGCTGGTAAAAGACAAAGAATACTTTGAAACACTGCATGAATGAAAGTACTGATGGATGGGAGAAGAGTGTGAACAGAGTAATAAACAGCAAAGGGGTGTGAGTGCTGATCACACTAAAAAAGAATGGGGCCAAGRAAAATGAGCAGGCTGTACCTCAAATTACCCCACTGAAAACACAGGATGAGTAGTGAGGTGTGCTGGAATCATAACTGCTTTGCCRTCCACTTTTCTGTACTTTCAGTGCACGTGCATTGTGCTTTGAAAGAAAAGAGGTAGGTGATAGGACTGGATGATCTTCACGGGGCCTTTCCCATCTTAAGCACTCTGCACTGCTCTGCTGCAATGTCACTGCCCAAAAAACGAGGTGATTTTCAAACAGGCAAAAAAGAAAAAAAAAAAAAAAGGTGGAATTTTCAAATAGGCACCACCTACAGCAGGCAAACCTGTAACCCCCCCCACCAAAGGTTAAGGAAAATGCTGAGAACACTCATTATGCTGCACTGCACACATGACTGAGGGAAGCTGCCACCCTTGGTGTCCTGCACTGAATTCATGCCAAGCACTGGTGCCAGGACCACTATCCCAGGGCTTGAAAGAAGCAGGTTAATGTGAGACAACACCACCTGGTTCCCATGAGCTGCCATCCTTCCTCCATGGCTCTGAAGACTCTGAAGGATTTAAACAGCTGGGCCTTTCCTTTTCTTTTTTTGATGMTTTATTATAGCAGCAAGGCAGCAGATTGCTTATATTCCATTTTTCTCGGACTCTTTTTAAAAGTGTGAATGAGCATGTGTGTATGTTGAAGTGATAACATAAGGACAAGCCACATTTTAAGTAAATATTGCTTTAAATTACCCTGGAATGTAAAAGTGCACTTGTGCAAAATGAGCTGSCCAAAAAGGAAAGCGGAGCTGCAAACCATCATGCCTGCAAGCTGAGCATGCCGGCAGGAGAGYTGCTGAATAAGGGCATGTTTACAGGTCATGTAAGCCTGCACCTAGGCTGAAACTCATGTTTTGAAACACAGAACATGCATGTACTACACTGCCACAGCCTCCTCTGTGTGAGCCCCTACACTGCGGCAGAAAAAAAACAGCAGAAACCCTGTGGTCAGAGGAGATTCGATTTCTGGGTGAATTTAAACCTTTTTATCTCTATAATGTGGGTAGAGGAGAGCAAGGAGCAGCCTCTCACCTGTGGCTGAGTGTCAGCACTGTGAGCCTCATCACTGAAGCCATCTCAAGGCGGATTTAAACCTGTCCCTCTTTCTGACTCCAGCAGTGATAGGCAAAGCGTGGTCCCAGCTCTGTGCAAACTCCCCTTGGCTGCTGTGCAGTGGCCATGCAAGCYTTTTTCACCTGGCTCATTTCAAACTCCATGTGGCAAAGAAGCTGCTTAAAGGGCTCTGCCTTTGAACATACAGCAAGGACAGTCAGACCCAGGAACATCTGTGACAGCCACACACACCTGTGCAGTGACAGCAGTACTGACACGTGGGTAATTGTCAGTAAGGCTGATGCTCTGGGTAAAGCCATAAGCAGAAGGAAATGAAAAATTAAGGTACAAACCAGCTGGTTTCAGTGATGCCAGAATGTTGTGCAATGCCTGTGATGCAGATAGAGGAGAGGCACGACTGAGCTGGGTARCAAGGCTGATAGCAGGTGACACCTTTTGCTCTGGCAATTTAACTCTCASAGGCTTTGGGCCCCCCTTCATTCAAGTCTTTATTAAATCTGTAAGACATGACTTAATCATTGCCCTGTTTTCCTGACCTCCTTATTTGGGCTGGAACTGATTTGCCAGTGTAGTGCACAAAAACAAAATAAAAATGTGCAGTTTTGGATGTTGTCACTTCTGGGAACATAAATGCACACTGTCTATTTCCCTGCAGAGCTGGGATCCTGTAGTGACACAAGACTTAATGCTGCAGGTCTTTCCTTTGGCAAGACTGATTTTGGAAGTGAAGTTACATTACTGGGAGTAGGGAGTGACTAATTCTGCAATAAACAGAAAGACACCAGAAATGGTAAAGCTTTTGGTCAGATTCTTACACATAAAAGCAAATGGAGACTGTGCTGAGATGCAGTTTGACCCGGTAACCCTACAGGCATTGAGAAAATAGTGAGACATAAGAACAAGGAACATGTTTGGGGTTAGGGAACAATAAATCACTGAACTGGAATCTGAAATGCTAGGCTCTTCTATTCAACATACCACTCCAGCATCCCCAGCCTCCATCACATGCCCTGCGTGCCATACCAGGCTGAATTCAACCATATGTTTGTAGCTACACTATGAAATTCATTTGTCAAGTCCCAGGAGTTTTTGGCAAGTTGTTCTGTGCTGTATGTGTGGTCTGCTACACTAAAGCAGGCACAGAGAGCACAGTTACGGGTATGTCTATAGGATCCAGAGGCAACACAGCTGATGATTTCTCTTCTCTGACTTTTAATGCTGTTTAATAATGAATGGAGATGGATAGGACTCGGGTGGAAGCTGTTTCAGCACAGTTGCAGGCTCAAAGCCTGCTGAAGGCTGCTGGAACAAGCTATAAATACGTATCTGAACTCCAAGCCAACTGTGTAAACTCAGAAGCTGCTTGCTTCATTCAGGGACTTCAAACCCACCAGAGAGTCAGGAGCCTCTTGGACCAGAGGTAAGTAGAGGCTGGCAGAAGTCACATTTTCCTTGTGAGAGGGGATGTGGAAGATGCTGGGACAATGCAGGGGCGGATGACGGATAGGAAATGATTTCTCGGGTGTTTTGAAAGGAAACACATAATCCAGAGTTATGGACCCTCATTAATCAGGCAGAGTAGTCCTGAGATGCCAAATCTCACAAGAACAGCTGTAGGACTTGGAGTCATTTGTAAGCTCTTCCTAACTGAACCCTTGGCATGACATTTGCCCAGATTCTCCATCCCAATTCAAATATCACCACCTCGGTCTATGAACAGTTGCCTAGTGGCTCTAATTCAAGCTGATTCACAGCAAAAGATAAATCTTTCTTCACCTAAAAAAAGCTGCTGAGAAATTCTTCAATTCCTCTGCCTTGTGCAATCTCAGGCCAGGAGTTTTTGCAACAAGGTCAGTCTCATTTCTTCATCTCCTGAACTTAAGTCCCTCTTCCTTGCTGTGTAGATGCCTACAGATAGTCCTGCCATCTCATTTTTTAATACAGCACAGACTGCAGAAAGGAGGCAGAACTGTCAGAAAGAAGTTTAATTTAAGTTTTTGACATATAGTATGAAGCTGTCACTTTAGCAGAGATTAACAGACTGCCTGACAGGAAAAAAAACCAGGATCTCTCTCAGCCTCAGCTCATCTCATCTTCAGAGGGAACTGAAGGTCAGCAGGTACCATCTAACCTTTTCCATGGTAAAACGAAGGCCCAAGAAACTACTGTTACRTGGAGAAGTGCTGGAATTTGCCTCCCAGTGACACTGCAAAGCCAGCTCCAAGGCTGCATGCTGACACTTCTGGTCCACCAATTTYGCTGCACTTCAATCCTCAGAGATTCTTTTCAGTTCTTTTAAGATGTGTAAACCCAAATAGCCCAAACCTTGGCAGTCTGCACATCTGGGACCATGACTGAATCCTCATGAATGCCAAACTGTCTTCATTTCAGCTGAAGATGGCAGAAGACACTTGGCACTCCTCATCCTCCAACCCTAAATGTATATCCAACCTTAAGGATCCAGAGGACAAATCAAACTCCTCTGTGAAAGCAACATCCTGGAAAAACCAGCCACAGATTCTCTCAGGTAATTTGGAAGAAAGCCATATTTCAAATCTGTCCATTAAACCTGACACAAAATCATAAAAGTGCCATCCAAGAAGGATTTAATCATAGAACGTAAAATGCACTTCCCTACTTTGGCACAGGGAAAGCAGATGAGATAAAAATAAAATCCTATAAGGTATATAGCACAGTCCAGGGTGTTCTCTGATAGAGCTGCACCTCTGAGCAGAAATCCACTTAGGTAGAGATGGCTTTTAGAGCTATATTGTAGCAACTGTTTCCCACCTCCCACTGAGGTTATATTTACATGCTGAGATTCAAACACCCACTGATCCAGGCTGAGGTCCTGAGATGCTCTGGGGAGGAACAAGAGCTGTTTCCCTGTACTGGTCCCAGCACAGCAAGGGCACTCAGTGCCAGGCTGGCCCTTTGCCAGGGATGGCTCAGCATCACCCCCAGGTACTCACCTAGGAGCTGCACCCCGCGGGTGAGCCCGTAGACATCGATCAACGCCCAGAGGGGCTCTGCCGTCCTCACCCCGCTGAAGAAGAGCATCGCAGCAGAGTCGTTCACCCGGTAGAAAACCCGTCCCTTCTTGTCCACCCAGAAGGCTATGATGTTCCCCTCGTTTGCAAACTCTTCTGGCAGAGCCTTGGCCCAAAACCCACTTTGGGAAACCAAGTCAGGGCACGCATACTTTGGCAGAGTGTCGGGGTTAATCCTCGACGGATCCTTGGAGGTAAAGCCGAGCCGAAGAGCCCCACTCCAGCAGCACTGCTTTTTAGTGATCTGCAAAGACAACAGCAGCAATAACAGCACTGGGCACATGGACATTGACCTACATGCCACAGGCTTTATGCATCCAACACTGGTGACCAGCAGATGACCCCACCAGATTTAGGAAACATTTCACCCACCAAACACTGCTGTGGGATTTTTCAGCTGCACACAGCAATGCTGCTGCATGCTGAGAATATGATGCCCATATTTAAAACCAAATAAATCAAATCAAATCTATGTGGATAGGTGAAATGTAATTACAGCTGCATGATGATTCACTTCTATTTCTAGGGTAATTCCTTTTGGCCTAAGAACAATCCTCTCAAAAATATGCCAAAAACGACCACAAGACCTTTTATCTCAGCACCTGCAGCAGCAGAGCTCTTCCCACATAGTGCTTGGATTATGGGGTCTCTCATGACCTGAGGGAAAAGCACAGACTCCAGAATCACAGTTACCACCACAGGGTTTTCTGAGTTTCCCAGGCAAGTAAAAGACAGTCTTTGCCTTGTTTAACTTGTCATATTGGATGACATATTGAAATCACAGCCTTGCAGCAGAGAACTTGTGTGTGGGAAAGCACAATAYAGAGTATTTGAATTTGTTAAACACACAATTGGGAAGCAACAATAGATGTTCTTTTATRACTGGGGAAAACCTACTTATTTCAGCTATGAATGGTGTTTTGCAAAGTTATGTTATACATAACTGCACCCCAACCTGTCATTATGCAATTACTCACTGTGTCTGGGGTCACAAACATCTGCTATGGTTTTTGGAAAGGTTCAYGTGCCATATCCATCCTTCTGCCCCTGACAGACAGCAGAGCAAAGGATCACAGATACCTCCAGAGTCATTAGCTTCTTCTCACAAGAACTGAGCCCTGGCCAACAGGGGATCTGAGGGGAGAAGGCACCATATCCTAAACACATGCAACACATCAAAAACACTACCCAGTTTAAAGGTCTGGTTCTTTTTTCCCCATGGAACAAGGGGTCTTCCAGATTTAGTAGGGTCCTCAGTCAGAGATGGTGTCCTTGGTGAAGCTTTTCCTCTCCTTTTATTATTTGAGTAAGAAGCTGCTGGGAATTKTTCCTCTCAACAGGATTTAGCCTGTCAGCATCCAGAATATGAATGAAAGACCWAAGGATGCTGGAACCAACCTTGATGTGGGGCCAAGACAGTCCCTGCATGCCAGCAGACACATAATTGCTGTATCTGTTCACACAYTGAACCTGCAGCAAACACAAGAGCACTTGAGATTGTCCTCTTCCATCAATGCTTTAGCAGCCTCAAGCAATTCCATTGCTGCCCAGAGGAAAGAGCAGAAACATGGGCAGGTACCCCTATCAGCTGTCACACAAAACTTGCTGCCTTTCTGTAATGTCACACTCTGACAAAGCACTAATGGCTCAGATGAATGGCAGTGACAGAGACTGAACTGTCCAGGACTGCAGGACTTTGTCCTCAAAAGCCTGGCAGCCCCTCGTGTCCAAGCTTGGAAGCACAGAATTTTCACTGAGGGATTCTACGAGACATTTTCTTTGGACTTTGAATTTTCTGCTAATCACATTTCTAAGTACTGTGTTTTTCTTTGCATATTCCTCTTCAAGGGAAATCTGGAATGCGTGCCTGTGGGGTCACAATAATCTCACAACAAAAACATTGTTCAAAGCCCAGAGATTTCTGTTTTATAATTAAAGTATCAGAGAAAATAAGTCAGAGCTCAGAGAAAAGTTATCAACAGACAGTTTTTCAGTTAAGGGAGCGCTGGTCTTTATCCCTACTCAGTCCATCYRGRCACCTAAAYGGTTTACAYGAAACACTTGAGCACTGACCTCAGKCCCAGGAACCATGGGAAGCTCCTGCTTGTGGGGTGGACATTGGGATGACACTAAAAAGGACTGAAGCAGATTTGCTATTTTATATAGCTGGCCAGTAYGGACTGGCCTCATGCATGTCCCCAGTAGAAGTGGGGTTAACAGGGTATGCACATGATACAATACACACACTCCAAGAAGAAGCCTGGGTTATTTTTGCAGCAAATTTACTGCAAGCCCTAAAAGCTTTTGGGTCTAAGATAAATATGGCCTCATTGTCATTTGTACAATTCAGTCTCTTGCCAATACTTCACAGCAATCACAGGCAGTGTGAAGTAAATATTCATATGGTAATTGAGGCTGCACATGTTCCATGTATTAATCAGCACCTATAAACAGTTCTCAATACAGTCTGACCACAGGCAAACTAATATCCAAATTAAAATCAAGTATAAAGCCTGCCAAGAACTAGACACAGCTGGACAAAGGGTACACAGTTTTGCTAAAAAAGGCCATGGTTAATGATGGACCAAATTCTCTTTTCAGCAGCCACTGCTAGCAGAAAAGCCTGKGAGGTCCACCGGGTACCAGAAGGGGAGGAAAAGACAGAATCCACATCGAAACTGCTAAACCATCACTACTTTCACAGATTCAGGCTCCTGATCTTCACTGCCTTGTGCCATCTTTGAGAACTTCACTTCCTAGCAATGCCCTCAATTACATGGACGAAACCATACAGGAACATTTATTTCTGAGGCTGCTTGACAGCTGTATTCCCATATTCCCAGAGCTGAAAAAAAATCTCCAAATAAAACCTGAGATACAACAGCTAWTAAACAGAATGAAATCTCCTTTCTTCTTTCCTCAGTTTTCCAAAGGGAGTTTAGACTTTACAGGGCCTGGATGACTGGGTTCATGGGTCAGTCTGTGGCTGGTAAGAAGGTCAAGGATGCAGCCCTCCACAGGCACAAACAACAGCGAGGCAGTTACAGGATGGATTTATCACACAAAAGCAAGGATGTTTCCCTGTTTCATCCCTCCCTAGAGCACAAGTTCTGCTAAAGCCTGTTGATCACTCCCATGAGACCTTCCCACTGGAGTCAGCAGGAGCTCTGCTCATAAATCTCTTGCGCAGATTTGCATGTATATCCTTCACATACGTTATGCAAGCTAAAATCCCTAAACACACAGATAAACAAGTGTGAATTTCCAGAGACAGCTACCTTGTTTCAGAATGAGGAAGAAATAACCCAGAACCTTTGCCTAAACCACTAAATCTGCTCAAATCTTTGATGGTGTCTTCAAAAGTGAAATGCTGCTTTCATCTCCTCACAGATTATTTGTCGCAGTTCCTTGTCCAAACTGCTAGCCARCATGGGAAAAAATCTCATTAGGCTACGTGAGGGATTCCTGCAGGGCTTCCAGCCTGGTTAGAAGCAGTAAGAGCTCCACAGGGAGCATAACAAACCTGTAGTGAGGATTTTCTAACACTGGGCCTGAGCCTGAAATCACTGAAATCTCCATGTATTTCCAAAAGGAGGCATCTTCCTCATTCCTTGCTCCTTTGCTGGTGGTTAGGGAAGAGGCAGGGAATGCTGATATGCTACTGTAGGATCCAGCACTCTGGGGCAACAGCAAGATCATTCAAACTGGGTATCTGTATGCTGATAAACCTCCTGGAAAGCTCTTTCTGTGTAAATGAAGGATTTGCAGTGAGATCATTCATGTGTGCCACAAAATTAAGTGGCCAAAGAAGATGGCCCACTGGAAGGCATGAGCTCAGCTAAGAACAGAGAAATACAGTCCCACAATCTGGAGGGCATAAAGATTGGAAAGCATCTGTGGATGACGTTTCAAGGGTCCCAAGCTCCTTGAGGTGCTGATAACCTGAGAAGTGCCTCAGTTCCTAAGGAGAAGAGGAGTTTTTCCATCAGAAAACAGCTCCTGGTGAACACGAAGGCATGTTTTATCAGAGGAGCCGCATTTCCTACACCAGCTGTAGCATGAGAGGTACAAACTGCATCCTCTAGGCTACCACAAACACAGAGGAAGTGAAATCAGCCTGTGCCAGTGAGAAAAATGTGATGCCTGCAATGTTCTCTCCTCTGACCTTAAGGCTGTCAGGTGACTGATTCAACAAAGCAGTCAGCAGACCAACAGAAAGGTCCTTTTCTTGGACAGCAAGTGTGACCACTGCTCCTTTCATCCTTTCCTCCAAACTCTTTTGTTTTTCTGCCAAGCATGTGAGCAAGAACCTTCACTTCCAGGTCCTTTTTGACCTCTTACCTCCTGGCTGTCTCACCCTGGTRAGACCAGCCCTCATTGCTGCCYTGTTTAGAGGAACAGAAGTGCTTGSTGTGGAATGGAACAMCTTCACTAACTCCTCATCCTCCCTCAGCCTGCCCAGGAAAGCTCCTTTGCAGGATGGGAGCAAAGCCTAAAGGACACATTTTCTAGAGAGAGATACTGAGGCTGCTGCCTTTCAGAATAATCAATAYATCCCTTTTTTCCTGCTGTTTTCAACTCGATCTCGGCTTAATCTGCTGTACTTTTCTAACATCAGTGTAAGTATTTTTGGAACATGGATTTCCCCTTTTTTCTCAGTTTCTACTGCAGTCTATGGCTCTAAGAACTGCAGTGATAAAAGCAGAAGTACCASTGAAGATTGCAGATCTTTAAGGCCTGGTCTGACTACTGTGCTTTTCAAGGAAGGGCTAAAGATCTGCTGCAAGCACCAAAGCTCAGTACAACCCAACATCCATCCACAACAGCTCCCATGGCAAAAAGGGAAGGGAATTTACTCACCTTAAGCCTGACTTGTTCATAAATAACAATGGGCCTGTTGCTGAAGGTGATGGCATTGCAGAAGCTAGCCTGGCGCTTCACCGCCTTCTGTGTTGTGTCCATGATGATCTGGGATCCCTTCGTGTGRGGATGGAAAAGCAGAGGGCTGATGGACAGAGTTCCACATTGTGGGATGGGGAGACAGTGCTTCTGCTTGTGGTGGCATCGGTGGGAGGAAGTTGAAAATGACCCACCAATGGAATCTGAAAGCAGAATGGGGAAAAGAGGGTATCAAATCGGCTGTAAGTAATACGGAAATTTTCAAAGTAAAAAAAAAAAAATAGAGCAGAAGTACTTCAGATAGAAAGTATAGCTAAAACAAAAAAAAAAGTTAGCCAAATCCTTAAACTGTAAACTGAGGGATTTTAGAGCATCTTCAGCAACAAAAGTGTGCAAGGATACTGAAGACTCCTGTCTCGACATTCCAACAGTACAGAGCATGACACTGAGACTGCACTAAAATCACAGGCCATTCTGAGGCCACAGACCAGGAGAAAATACAGGAATTGGTTCCAAAACTGGAGCAAAGCACTTGTGAAGTTGCTGTATCAAAGCTGTCACTCAYAGAGAACAATCTTCCACTTCCAGTGGACACCTACACAACTTGACCATTTCTCTCACACTTCCTCTCAACAACTCCTCTGATCTTCACCTCCATGTGACTCTGGGTGCCCTATCCACCCAAGCCATGTGCCAATTCAGACACACACATTGCTAATTTCTGCTCAAGCACCACTCAGCAGTAACCCACCTGGATTTCCCCACCAACTCCCATCCATTCTCCTCTCCATGGATAAGAACCTCAGCTGAGATCCCACGTGTCACAGGCATTGATCAGCACACTGTGGTTACAGTGAGGAAAGGTAAGAGGGGAAAAGGTATGAAGGACAGAAGAGATCACATCTTTCTGCAGTCAAGACTCTATGGAGAGACTTGAGGCAGGATCAGCAGAGCCACAGCAGCAGCTTTGTTCCTGAATGAATGGACAGACACCTTTCTTTTCAACAGGGAGCCTGCAGCAGCTCCAGCTGAAAACAACCACTCTACTCAACACACGTCATCTGCTTCCTTTTCCTTGTATGCACACACACTACATTATACACATATGTTTGGGAGGAAACACTCCTAGATTTGGAAACTGAGTACCAAGAGAATACAGGACTATTCTGTGACAGGCTCAAGGACACTACAAAAGCAAATATGACCTTAAGGATGTGCCAGTTTGCGCGGTAGAGATGCATGACTAAATAGACTCTTCAAACAAACTACAGAAACAAATTATGTATATTCTTAACACAAACTGCTTGCTGTTACGTCTTTCTATAGCTACTAAAAAATAATGTTTGCACCTCTAATATAACTCTTGGTTTTGCAATTAAAAGCCCAGACTGTCTTCCTTCCAGCCTTTTGGGTAGTCTTAGCTTGCAGCTACACAAAGCTGTAACAGCACATCWTCAGGGTGAGTGTAACTATCAGCAGAATTTAAAATGCTGGCTTCTGACAARAATATTATAATTCAAGTTCAGCAGCTGTCACTCTGACCTTCTCCTCTCATCTCCTTGCTRGTTTTTCTTCTCTCATTTTCAGCAACAGTGCTGTTGAGCAGGGAGATCATACAGCAGGGCTGTTACCTTTAAACACGGTGATTAATGCTTTATGGGGGAGATTAACCAACTGGGAGGTTTTTGATGCTAAAAATTACGTAGAATACGTAAACTTCCTCCTCCTGTTCCTCACACATGGAGGAGGAAAAATAAGGTGCAGATACCGAGAAAAGTAGAGGTTAACCTGAGCAGGCAGGTCACAGAGGGAAACCTTTAGGAGGAACAGACTGCACGAAAGGGGAGCTTGACAAGGGGAAGGTCAGGGTGCAGAAGCTCACATGAGCCTGGCCTTTTCCCTTTGGAAAGGTCACTGCTGACCTGGGGTGGTGCACCCTGGTTTTCCCCACAAACCAGACTGGGTGTTCAGAAGACAATACAAGCTGYAGCAGCCCCACAGACAGAAACTTCTCAGGGTACTGCCTAAAACCTGTTTAATTYGAGACTATTTCATGCCCCAAAGAACAGGAGGTTGAATCCCTTCCAGCGTCACCAGAGTTTTGCAAACCAGGTATGTTCTTTACTATCATCCCTTTGAAACTGCTGATAAAGTGTGATAAAAATCACAAGAGCAAGATCATGCCTGTCTGCAAACAGCCTTTGTGTTGAGGGGCTGCAGATCCAGAGGTGCACCATGGACCCCTGCACAGCTTTCCAGCTTTCATGCTAGAACAGCAGTTGCTGACTCCTTAGGTCTGACTTCACCTCTCCATTCATGCCCAGTTATTGATGCTGTTTGAATGATTTCACCCTGCACTGGCTCTGAACCCTCAACACAACCTCCCCATAACACCATAATCCCTGCCAAGAGGGCAGCAAAAGCAGTAAAGYACCACTTGCTCCCCCGAGCCTCAAGACCATGGACTGGATTTCTGAAAGCTTCAGAGAGCCAAGATGAAGGAGATGCTGCCATGAACCACTCTGCCTTCATTGTCCCACTCCTGAGTGCACCCTTTTTGGAGCTGTTTGGTAAAGCAGGGTATTTCCCCAAAGGTGTCACACTCCTCCTCCCCTGTGCATCAGATGTCCCTGGTGTCCTGGCTCTCAAGGCCTGAACAAAATCCTGTATACAACACATGACACCCAAGGCAACACTGGGAGTTCTCAGCATAGAAAAATGCAGCTCAAAGCCTGTTAGGGGTTTTCACCCAAAGTGTTCACGCTCTGCAAACATCAGACATAATTTTAAAGGCTTGGGATTTCTTAGATGCTGCAAGGAATGTCTGGATTTATATTTTTAAAAAATACATTCTTGCCAGTTGAAAATATCTCAATAGGCACTTATGAGAATACTGTAAAAAATCATTTCAGATTGAAAACTGACTGCAAGGTATTTAAGATAAATTTCTTACAGCATATGAAATAAATACCGTTCAGAATTGAAAGAAACAGAAAAGAAGAATTTATAATAGAGCCCAAAGACTGACATGCTGTAGCAAACAGAAATGACATATCCTTGTCTGCCTGGGGAGGAGGAGAGGACTGGGGTGGGGACAGAGGTACCTGTGCTGCAGACAGTGAAATGAGGGTGAAGAGCAAACACCACACTATGAAAGGAGAAGAGTGTTTCAGAATTATTWCATTATCCAAAGAGGCTGACACACAGTGCTTTACATGGCATGTGGCCTTACCGGATAAGCACTTTAAGGGAAGGATTTTGGGAAGGAAGAAGAGGAAACCATGTGTAGGTGTGGGGAAGCCCTGCCCAGGGATGCCTGCACAGTGCAGCAGAAAAGGCCTGTCCCTGAAGGAGAATCCACACAGCCTTTCCAAAGCTGGTAGTTATTACAGGGCAGCAGCACAGGGAGAAAAAAAATCAACTGAGATGAACACTTGTAATCATCACCGTTTCTTGAGCTGGACCCATACTTTTGAAAATTATCAGTGAAAAACAGCCTAACTAGTTACACTGATCCTTTATACTTTTTAACAAAAAGCTCAGAAGAAGAAAACATAATTAAATTTTTGCGCCAGGCTCTGCAAAAGGATTCTTAAAAGAACACTCTGAGATACAGTTTACTAAAAATAAACATTAGCTTAACACCAGTGGAAACTTGAAAGGGGTTGCAAACCTTGTTTTCTCACATGCAGTCTGACCCAGGGCAAGTGCAGAGAAGAAAGAGAACCATAAATTAATGCAAATCTTCACTGCCTTTAAAAACATGTTTGCCGTTCTTGAGGGAGTAAGTAATAATGTCTCTCCAGTTTGTGTCCAACTCTCCCTGTGGCTGTAGGATGACAAGGACCCTGTCAGATTGCTGTCACCACAGTAAAATACTCATCTTTGCTTGGCAAGATGACCACAAAGCAAAGCAAAGCTTTGCTCCTCCACAAGAACAGACTGTAGCTTTGCAAGTGTTGGGGCATTCAATGATAAAGATGCAAAGAGTTAATTCTAGAGTGTTAAATCCAAATGAAGGAGCATCTTGGGTTAAACTTCAGTGAATTGGGGAAATATCTACAAGGTGGATCTCAGCCAGCTGGTCAGATATAGCACTCCCATCCAAGACTCCAAAAGAAGTCAAAGCCAAAACRTAACTTATTTTCATCTGTGCTATTTTAGAGGTGACAAGCTGTATCAAGAGAGTGGGTTCGTGCATAGTGTAACATTTTCCATTTAAATTGCAAACTACGAGACAAGAGGCAGGTGCAGACAAACCACATGGACATGAAAGGAGATAATTGTTGTTTTTTTTTTTTTTTTTTTTTTTTTTTTTGAACTAAAATGCAAAGTTGTCTAAATTGTCTTTGCAGTTAGAGATATGAAAGACAACACAGGTGGTTTTACAGTATCAGTGAGAAGCTCTCCCCCACCCAGTATAAAACACAGCAAACAGAAGCTGGAGTTGTTTGCAGGACGATCTGCAATGGATCCATCTTTCAAACCTGACTGATCACTGGTAGGAAGGGCTTAATTTGTGAGCAGCCCTTGAAGTGAAGCAGCTGATTTTTCATTTCAGACCCTTTTCTTATTGTTGAAGAATAGATGAGATCAGGTAGAAAGGTGTGAATATAGTATAAGCTGTCAAAAAAAAATCCCTTTCCCTTATAAATGAATTTTTAAATTTCATACTTCAGTTATGATGCTGTGCAATCTTTAACCATCTCCTGGTCCCTAATTCGGCACTGTTTACTCAGTGTCTGTCAGTCATTCCCAAAAATTCAGTCACTGTTGTGACACACCAMGGAGACCCCGTCACGGCTCCACTTTCCATGGGCTCTGCTCACCCTTCCCAAATCCCTCCTAGCCTTCTCCCCGTGCAAATCCCCCGAGCCCCTGCGGACCATAAGCCCCCTAAGCACATAAGAACAGCAGAGCATAAGTAAGCAGCCATATGCTCCCGTCTGCCAGGTATGAGAGAGGGGGCGAGCAGCCCCCCTGGAAGGTGCTGGGCAGGGGAATTGCCCCGGGAGCTGCACCCTCGGCTGCAGACAGATCCACGGGAGGGAGACTGACATCCCTGCAYCAGCAGCAGCCACTCCTCCTACACTCGCTTCCAGCAGCTCCTCTGATTCACAGGCAGCAACAACTTSCATGTGCTGTATAATTACGTTTTTGACAGCAGGGAGGCACTTCTGACCTTATTCTCTTTGCATCTTGG